GCGGTGGCTCTGTCTGGCGGTGAAGGTTCCCTGGCCCCCAGGTTCCCAGAGAGCCTCGGGCTCTGCCCGGCTTCCCGGTTTAAAGAAGAGAGACCTGCCAAGCCGCGGCTCCTTCTTCAAAATTTATTCCCCGATTATCCAAAACAGTTTATATTTAGGCACTTGTGTGCTGTGGTTTCTGCTATTCTGCTCATTCTTCTGCTTTATTCTGGAAATATTTTCAGCACTTTGTGTACCTGCCTTTCATCTACAGTTTACTTTATAAACTCTTGGCTGAAAACTATCCCTACCTGGTCTTCAGAGGATACTGTAATGCCCAGGAGAAAAAGATTAACAGATAACACTAGCAAATCACTTCTTATGCTTGTCTGGCATAATAGTGTTACAGAATTAAACTTGGGTTATACTGTGGGATTTATTGCTAATTTGCTATTGGGAAGGGAATGTTGCTGAACCATGTAAAAATGTGTGGACTTCAACTCCTGGACAGTAAATGTTTTGTTTCCACTTTTTAGGAGAAACATAAATATTAGGAAATGGCAGAAGCAGTTTTTCATCCCCCAAGAAGGAAGAGAAGAGTGTTTGAGTCATATGAGTCTCCCTTTCCTGTGGATGTAGGTGGGAAGGATTTCAGAATATGCCAGGCTGAAATCATTAACAACAATGTTATTGTGAGAAACCCTGAAGATATTGAACAGCTTTATAACAAGGTGCTGTACCCTGTTTGCACGGTATTTGTAGTGGTTTAAACATAGGTAAAGCATAATACTTGTTAAAATCTGCCTGCGTTTATGCATTCCTTCCCCTTTAGCCTCCAGTAATTCTCCATATCTCCCTCCTCTCCGGAAATCAGTACAAAACATATATTTTGTATCAAATGTGAAAAGTATTTCATGCTTATGCCAGCAAATAAATTTTGGAATGATGTTGTGAGCTAAAAAACAGCTGCAAAGACTTCATGTTTGTTACGTTTATTTCTCCTTTCAACATTTTATGCAACCTTGCAAAAGCATTTTCTTGTTTTTAAAGCTCAGGAGGTTGGAATATTAGTGTTTTATAAACGTTTGTAGAATTCTTTCAGCTTCAGGGTGATTTCTTCCTGAGTGAAATAAGCTACATTAAGCCTCTTATGTCTGAGTACCATTTCACCACCATTCTTATCCATCTCTTTCTTTTCCATTACGTGTTGTCACAGCATTAATACACAGGCGTTTTCTTCTGCATCTGCTTGGAGATGCTGGCTGGTGAATATTTAGAATTGAGGAAAAGGACCCAGCACCCTCCACTGGTTAAATCTTTGAGTGCAGGTGTTCAATGTTGAACTAGTTATCAGAAGCTAAGTAGCAAGCTTTACGCAAAGCTTAAATGCTGCAGGATCTCAGTTACTTTTTTCAGCTGATCTCAGCAATAAACATTTTATATTTGGAAATAAGTTCATTTTTGTCTGATGATATAATAAGGATTTTTCCTTTTCTTTGAAGGGTTATTTTGGAAAAGGTATCCTTTCAAGAAGTCGACCAGTGTACAGCATTTCAGATCCTTCACTGGTTACTAAGTGGCAAGGTAAATTGTGCCTGTTTGTTCTTCCATCACTGGTCTAATAGTGCTTTTCACTTCTCTTCAGTCATTGGAAGTATATGTGTATAAATTACACACAGAAAAGTAATCCTTCTGCTGGGTCAGATCAAGGATCTCTCTCCCCTATACCTTGTCTCTGATGATGGCCAGTACCAGATGCCTAAGAAAAGTACAAGACGAAGGGGAAACATGTTGATAGCTCCTTAATGCGTTCTCCTAGCCTTCGCTGGTTTGTTGCTTAGGAAGTCTGTAAGTGAAGGTATCATCCTTGGACTTTCCTTCCTATAACTGTCCAGTTTTTCTCAGTTTTAATCTGTAGATTGTAGTGTCCATAAAATCATGAAGCAAGGATATGTGAAATTTTTAATCTGCTTATGGCCAATTATATCTGGTCTGCTCTTGGTTGTTTAGAGAAAGACTGTCATTCTTTATTCATCCTTTCCATGACAGTTAAGTCTCAATAGACATCACTGGATGTCTTATTCCACCACAATTGTCTTTTTATGGGCTGGAGAAAAATAGTGAATTTAATTGCTCCTCTGGTGCAGGCTGTTACTCTGTACCTTTTCCAGTTCTACTGTGTCCTTCTTGAATACAAGTGGGACCAAAATGGCGTAGAGTATTGAAAATGGGGGTAATTACTAGGCTGCAGATTACCTCAGTGAGCAAAATCACATGAAAACGTTTTTATATTGATGAAGCAATGTATGTTTTTTCTTTATGCAGGTGCTAACATAAACTTGCCTATAATTGCATCCAAAAAGTAAGTTCAATTTACATTAATTTATTCTTGAGTTTTTGATGAAACAGATTATTTTGTGTTTTATTTTACTGATTTTCAGATTGTTGGCTGTATAAATGCTGATGACTTGCCTCTATTTTTTTCTTTGTGTTTAATTTATAACTCACATTAGAAAAACTAGACATAGAGTAGGTGATATTATATTCAGCATGGTTTTTCATGTAAGCTTGCAGGTATTAATTGCTGAATTGAAGCCAAGATGGAGTGCATGTATATGGGTATGAATGCATAGTAGTATGGGTAATTAATTCATAATAATATCAAGCATAATGAACTTCTTTCTTAGCTGAAGAGGAGAATTTTCTGGGGCAGGCTATTTAAAATAATTCTTCCATTTCCTTATTGAATTACTATAATGTGGGCTGAAGCTGCTCTTGAACTTGTATTATAACATAAAGGTGTTACCTTTTTTTAATAGTCTCTATTAACATTGCTAGTTTGTACATTTAGCAAAACAGAGTGTTGGATCACATATTTATTTTGTTCCACTTAAATAGTGTATGAACTAACTGTAAGAGAGTGTAAGTTAGTTACTCTGCTTTAATCTTATGATAACTAAAAATTTTAAATTTAAAATGTTACGCTCCTTCAGTCGTCAACTTTAGACAAGCCAAACAGCAGCATTACTACTACTACTGCTACTACAGTTACTACAACTTGCAGAAACGCAGCACTGAATTACATAGTTTTATTATGAGTCTTCAGAGGGACTTGTGTTAACAGATGAAATTTGCATTTAATTGTCTTTGTAGTTCTTCACTACCTGGTCTCTAATTGCTGATTAGGATTTTGTTCTGGGAGATAAAGAGTATTGTACTAGCGTTGTCCAGGTTTGAGTAAGGACAGCTGCACTCCGCTACCTGCAACTTTCACAGAATTAATATTAATGTCTTCCATGTCTTCCATTGCAGATTAATGTTGTCTTCCAAGGAGAAATAATTGAAGGGACGCTAAAAGCTCTATCATAATTGAAAAATAATAGAAATATGTACAGCTTTCAGCTACTATCTTACTGATTATTGTTACTCAGGGATGTGTGGGTTTTGGTTAAAACTGAAGGTTGTTTCTGCTCAAGATTTTTACGCTGGTGTTACTGCTATGCCATTGCTGTTTCAAAGATAGTTAAAACAGAGTTTTGAAGATACTGTTCTCAGTAGTTAGCTGTTTAATAGATGAAGCGTGTGAGAGCTCTATATGCAAAGTCTTGTTGCATATTTTAACCATGCAAGCTCTGATACCAAGATGTTTTTGCAGGGAGTTCAGGCTTCAGTGGGAGAAGGAAGTTTTTGCCTGGTGAAGTTCCTGCTTCTTGAAACTGTATAGCAGTAGTCCTTGTGCAACATTCAGTAACGGTGTTTGTTGCCAGAGAAATTTAAAAGGCAAAACAAAGCCAAAGAAGGTAGCAGAATCTTGATGTTCAGTAATGATGTTTGCAGCTTCCTGAAGACTGGAGTCCTATTACATTATGCATGTTGTATTTCACATATAGCAGTTATTAGGGGGTTGTTCAGATTTGGTTTGTGAACTGTGTTGAATCTTGTTTTTGAAGATGCTTATTTTTAAGATGTTAAATAAGGGATGTAGCACCCTAGAATTGCTCATTTATTTTACTTGCTTACTAGGTACCAGTGTCATGTTCAGTGGGCTAAAAGTATTTTGCAAGAGCAAGGATTTGATGACTGCTCGGTTACCAAAATTCTTGAAAATTACACTAAGCCTCTTGAGCTGCCATTTTTGAAAGAGGATGGAGCTGAACAAACCAGCAATAGTTGCAACAGAATGGGCCCAAATACAGAAAATACAGAACTTTCCAGACAATCTTCTACAGCTATTGGAAATGTGGTAGCCCTAAGTCCTGAGAATCAGAATGAAGGCTACAAGAAAGCCTGTTTGGAAGGAGATCCTGCATTTGATCCTGTGGCCATACATGGCTCCAAAGAACAAGAAGAAGGAGACTTGAAAGAGGTAGCTGAAGTGTCTTGCCAGAAGCATGGTTTTCTCATGCATTGCGGCTGCAAGGAGAGTACTGAGCAAGGATCTTGTGAGATGATCAAGTCAAAAGAGTGTGCTCCAGAATATGTATTGGTGCAAGAGGAAGAAGAAGGCAGCTTATGTCCTGAAGATGATGCTGCTCATGCGCAAGAAAATGTAAGGATAAAAAGTATCCTAATCTTTTAGAAAAATCATATAATCACTCCTATTTTCAGAATTCAGTATTTTTCCAGTTTAAAGTTTTAGTAATAAAGTAATTTTTTCTTGTAGGTTGTCAAGAAGGAAAAACTAGTATGCAGAAGAAATCCATTTAGGATTTTTGAATATTTACAACTCAGCTTGGAAGAGGTATGTTTCAAATACAGTACAAGTTGTTTTACTTTTAACCTGAAAAGTAAACGTTAATCTATGTTGCAACGTATTTTAATACCTGTTTCTGAAGTACAGGCTTCTCCTGTGTCTCACAAATGTTTGGATTGTCTGAATCATTAAAATAATTTTTAATTACCTGCAATAATTACATGATATGGTTAAAAAACATTTAGGGCCCAATCCCATTCGCTTTATATGAATAATCCCACTGACAAAGAGACCAGTGATGGGACTCTAAGTATAGAAATACCAGGAATGTAACATTTTTATAAATCCTACTTCTGTTGTACTGCTTCTAAATGTATTCATGTGTGTTAGTTTTAACACAGTGCCTTCAGGAGTCTACAGCACGTGCATAGATTTTTTTTTTTGTAGTGCTATGTGTTGAACTATAAAGGTCATGAAGACAGATCTCAAAGGAAACTTTCAGGCAACTTGTTTGTCTTGACAACATTAGGATTCTTGCATAAAATTAATTTGAGCCTTTGTTCTTGTGTGGAATATAAACTACAGGAAGAGTCTAGCTGTCAGTTAAAATGATTCTGTTTATTTTTTCAGGCTTTTTTCTTGGTATATGCTCTGGGATGTTTAAGTATTTATTATGGTGAGGTAAGAGATTGGATTAATTTTTGATTACTGGGGATACCATTAGTTTGGATATGTCTTGGTCTGAAATTTTTACCGACTATGGCAGTATTTTATGATGTTAATTCTGAAAGAGGAAATACCAAAGAGAGTAATTAGGAATATTTTCTTATAAGTAATGGTATTTTTGTTTATGAAATGCTAGTCTGAAAGTTTTATGTTCACCAAGGCAAATACAGGTAAGTGCACAGTCTTTCTGTAGACTGAGGTTTTTGTTGTAACTTAGGCAGGAAATACGGGAAAAGAAAGTATGGGAGGAATAATGTGGTGAAACAGGAAAATTGCTTGGAGTTTTAAGCATTAATTTATAAGTATATCAAGCTACTGTTAATGTAATGACAAAATAATTGGAATGTATGCTTCTAGTTTAAGACTTAACAGATTTCCCTTTAAGCAAGGGCATTATGGGACTGATTGTGAAATGCTAAAAAAATCCCACCTAAATGGAGCAACGTGTTTCTGTCTTATATTCAGGGATTCCGCATTTTATTGCCCGCAGTTCATGCTCTTTGCAGTGGACTGTGATATTTGATATTTGGCTGTTACACTCTACTACACACAGTATTCTATATCTGCTGTCATATTAATATTGTCACATTCATGCCATTGGTTGTGATTTTTAGGAGCCTCTAACTATTTTGAAGCTATGGGAAGTTTTCAGCGAAGTGAAGCCCAACTTTAAAACTACTTACATGGCATATCACTACTTCCGCAGTAAGGGTTGGGTCCCCAAAGTCGGACTGAAGTATGGAACTGATCTCTGTGAGTAGCTTCCTTAAAAAAAAAAAAGGAATCATTTTTGTATCATTCATGTATCTCATTTAATGGCAGCTGGACTTCTGCTGAACGTATTGCTAAGACTGTTTCTCTGTATGGGATTTTTTGGGGGGAGGGGGCAGGAAGGAGAGGGAAGAGAGTTGCTTATTTGTTAATGGTAGGGTTTTTAATTGTGCAGGAATAATCAGTAGTGTCCATAATCCCTTTCTGAGTATTTCAAGAGCTACATTCAGCTCACGTCAATGTAAACAGTACAGTAATGTCTGTCATTACAGGAAAATGTGCAGAAAGGGAGATACTTTTTAATGTATGCATACAAACCAGCAGGTGTTTTAATACTCCTGAAGCAGTTTTATAATTTGGGGGTTTGTGTATTTGAGGCTGTCAAGGTTGTGCTGAGCTAATCCTTTGGATCAGTGTGTAGGTTTGGTTGAATTCAACATCACTGTTCTTAGTACTCTGGGCTGTAGATGGGGTTTTGCTATTGATCACCTGATCTATACGGGCAATTGATATCACTTTGTTCACTGCTCATTTGTGTTCTGGCCTTAATTTGTTGTTTAGTGTATCACTGCCTTTGGATTTGTGCCAGACAAAGGAAGTGGATTAGTTTAAGGCTGGTAGTTTAAGGCTGCCTGAGCTCCTCTACCTTCTTGTTCTTTGGCAGTACCTTCTTAGAATTTATGTTACTATGATTGCTTATAATGGATAATTTGCAAGTCGTGGTTGTCACTGGAATGAAGTGCTGCTTGTCCTCCTGACAGGGTCTGTGCTAGCCAGCTGTGTAAGAAAACCTGTGCTAGTTAAAGACAGACCTCTCTGAAAAGCTCATGACAAAGGGGAGAGAGGAAACGTTAACCATTTAGCTCAGTTACAGCTGCAATGAGTCTTGTGTACTCTTGGATAGAGAAGGAACTTTTAGTGGGTCTGGTGGGCAGTATGTGAACAGAACATAAGTTCTGTTAACAGAACAAGTTCTGCAGGCAGAACTTGTGCCCTTTGCTTCTGCTAAAACTTGTGGAAAATGCTTGCTTAGAACAGGAACTCGATGGCTTATTGTGATCTTTTACTTGTACTCCAGTGGCTCAACTTCTGTTGCAAACACAGTTAAAAGCATGAGTCTGTTGCAGAAAAATTCCATCCTAGACTTTTTTCCCCTAGCAATTGCTAACTGTACTTTGGCTCTTCTGCTTTATCTTTTACCTGCCACTCCCCTGCCCTGAGTCACCCTGATGCTTTTATGGTTTTTCTGTCTCTTCCCTCTCTCTCTCCACTTGTTGGGACAACTTAATTCTGAGCAGAATTCAAAAGTGTTGGAGTTTTGTCCTGTGTAATTAAACCTTACAAAACATGTGAAAATACTTATGGTCCCAGGTATTAAGCCCAGATGGAAACCTTGAGATTATCTAACTAAGGTGTTTCTCTTTCATTTCAGTGCTGTATCGAAAAGGCCCGCCCTTCTATCATGCAAGGTTTGAAGCTTGGTTTCTGTCTAATTTCTTATTTTCAAATTAGTAAATTTCTCTCATGCAAATTTAGTATTTTCACTGGTTAAGCACATATTCTTCACTCAAAATACTTTGCCAGATGCATTCGTACTGGGAATGCAAGTCCTTTTAGCAGAGGTACTAAATAACACAATTTCATTGAATTCATATGACAGTAGTAAGATGTTAAAAGTTTCAGTGAGCATATTTAGCAGTCATATGATGAACGCACTCAGGAAAGTAATTTGATTTAGGAATACCGACTTTTAAAAATATATGGTATGGATAATTATGTAATTTAGGAAAAAATACTTCTAAGAGATGATAATTGTCTTTATTAATTAGCTAGTCAGGTTGAACTACTAGATAATAAAATGATTAGAAATGCTGACATTCGTAAGAGAATGCTGCAAACATCAGCAGAAGGGTGAGGAGGGAAAGTGCCAGTAAGTATATTCACAACTTCATTGTTTCTCCTCTCTGCCTAGTAGAAAGAGACGTAAGTTTCACAACTTCCTTACTGCTGGCATATTGTTTAACAACAATTTTAAGCTCTAATTCTTAGGTTTCGTGATCTTCCTCAAATGGTAATTTTCTTTCTGTGCATTGTCCTTTCTGCTTTGTTTTCCAGTTACTCTGTCATTGCTGAATTAGTTGATGATAATTTTGAAGGTTCTCTTCGCAGACCACTCAGCTGGAAGTCCTTGTCTGGCTTGAACAGAACAACTGTTAATGCTTCTAAGGTAAGTTAAGATGCTAGTTTTAAAATAGCTTTAAAATGATAAATGTACAGTTTAGTTCCAAAGAACGGGAGTTGGAGTGAGGCTGGAAGGAGAATCTTCCTGTTTCTAGTCTGCCGAAGAACGTGTTAAGTTGCCAGTAGGCACACAAGAGCTTCCTTTGTCAATATCCAGATGAATTCTGGAATAAGCTTATGAAAGTTCTGTCGCCTGTAGGAACATTAAAAGTTGTGCGAGGAACAGAAGACAGACCTGAGGGACACTTCTTTCCTGCTTGCCACTTCTGTCTTTAAAGCCCTCTCTATCTACCAGCATTTTCTTTTGAGTAGTGAAACTGGAAGTTTCCAAAAGGTTTTCTCTGTGATAGAGCCTCAGACATAGTGCTTCCATACTCATAGCCATGCTGCTCAGGTGTTTTGTTGTAATTCTAGTTTATCTTACAGCAGTGTTATGCTTTGATAAGGAAAATGAGATATGCATATTATACAGCTCTCTCATCTTGGTTTGCAGAAGACACCTTGTAGGAAACTTGATATCTACATTTCTAATTAATCTAAAACTTGTATAGAAAGAAATCAGTTGAAATTCACGTATTCGTGTTTTCTGTTTACCAACAGGAACTTATGTTATGCTATTTGATTAGACCGTCTGAGATGACTGAAAAAGAGATGTCGACACCAGAATGTATGAAAAGAATTAAGGTTCAGGTGAGTAATTACTTCTCTCCTTTGCCTGTATAGCTTTGCCTTGGGGCAGCTTGACAGCTCACCCTAAGAGCCCCCTTGAACTGTTGCTTGCTCTTTAGCATGCTTTGGTTTTTGCATGCATAGCTGCAATAAAACTAGATTCCTTTGTGCCCCAAGGCACGAGAAGCGCGTTACAGGCTGTTTAAAGACTTACGATCTTCTAAATTTTAATGTTGCTGCTACAGTAAATGTAAGCGTTTGCATGTGGAAACAGAGATACCTGTCGAGACTGTAAGGTTAGTGTAAATTTAAAAATGAAGGGAGAAAAACGTGCGAGAGACCAGGTGACTTCAGGAGCAAATGTAGTCATATACTGGAATTTCTCAGTGGTCCCATAATATATGTCAATTTGTTGAAGGCTTAATCCCTGTCCCTCACTGATTGCCTGTAGGTTTTTCTTCACACACACAGCCCCCCCCCCCCACCCCCACCCCCCCCACAATCCCCCATCATGTTTAAAGCCGTACAGGTAATCTAGTTGCTGCTTTTTATTTCAGGAACTGATTGTATCTCGTTGGGTTGCTTCCCGTGAGCGCAGTGAGCAAGATGAACTTTAACTGACTGTATAGGAAAAACTTTTTTTTTTTTCCCAAACCACGCCTTGTTGTTTTTTACCTGATCTTCTCATGGTGAACCGTTGCCTCAGAACAGTTTCTATCAACATATTCAGTTGGTATGTATAAATGCTATTTAAAATGAGGTATATCCTGTTTACTGGAGAGGATATTGTATTGAAAAACATAATTATAATAATGCATATGAAGGGGAGAAAATTAAAGCTGTGTCCCAACTCAAAATACGTGTTTGTTTCCTTAAAACTTATAAATGTGTATCTTGGAATGGTGGCTAGACTGCAGTGATAAGTAATGGTATTTTTAATATTCCGACAAATCCAGGCATTAGTGCTGAATAGGTACTGAAGTCCAAAACCTGAATGTCTGACTGAAAGCCGAAGCAATGAAGGATCAAACAGTTTTCTAGGAATACCTTGCAGATCCTTCAGAGTTGAACTTAGGAACTGTAAGGCTAACTTCCTTTTGTAGCTCAGCACGGGGTCCTACATTTCTTCAGAAATGAGGACTTAAACTTGATAGTGCTCAAGTTTGCTGCTGGTTTTTAACTAGTTAAAAGCCAGCCATAATGATAGTGAGTCAAATAACCTTTTGGGATACGTATGGTACCATTCTTCTTCAAACAAAAACTGAGTTCATAGCCGTGATGAAGTTGCACAAACTTAGATTTGGGAAGAGATGTGGTTGTTGCAATGTTGAGCATTGTAACATGTTACTGTTAGGTGCCTAGACCCTAGAATGTCGTGGTGTCATCTAAAAATGCTTTTTTTCACAAGCACTCCTCAGAATTGAGGAACTCTTCCCAGAATGTGCAAGGATTTAAATTAATTCTGGGGTCTAAGCACCTAACAGCAATGTTAGGTTTCATCACTGCTTTTTTCTCTTTTACCCAGCAACTACAACAGTCTGTACGTTTTTTTTTCATGGTGCGCTAGTAGCTCTCTTTGTCCTGGCCTGTCCAGTGTTCTAGAACAGACTGGGAGACACCGCTGTGTTTTGTATGGGGCGAGGCATAGGCCAGTGCTGAGCAGTTCTTGCCTTGCTACACTAGTGCCTGCTATTTTCTAACTTTTTTGTGAGAATTAATCATCTAGATTGCAGGTTCCTAAATGTGATGTTTACTCTTGCTAAGCCACATTTGGAAAACAAACAAACCCAGCAGGTATTCAGCTGCCTTTCAAGTTGAGCCAGGCAGTTAAAGTATCAGCTACAATGCATTTAAAGTATTGCTGCTTTAGATTCAGGCATTTGAATGCCATCTTCATGTTTGAACAACAGGCTTTCTTGCTTCACTGCGCTGTTAAGATGTTAATTGTCCCCCCGTGTGGTGAGAGAACAGTTCATTTGCTGCAGCAGTAAGGATACATTATAGCTAGTGACAATGACACTGGTTTGGATTGTCTTTGTGCTGTTTTCATTCGCTGTAACAGAGGGTTTTGCCTCCTGGTCGCAGGACGTTTTCCAGGGCTGGTAAAAATTCTGTCAGCTCGGACTGTTCCCACCAAACAGAAAACCACAATCATGCTTGCTTAGGCAGTTTAGATTGTAAAGCCATGTCACGAATGCAGGAAACTATGTACTCCTCAAAGTGGAAGTCTTTGCTTTCATTTAATAGGACTTCTACTGGAATGATGTAAAATGAAAATGTTAATTGCATTATAGTTTTTTCAAGCTGAACAGGTATGTGTTGACTGTATGTGGCAAGGTGTTTTGTTTCTAGCTGCAGATGACTGCACTTCATGTTTCAGTACTGTATCAAATGACTTACATTAGATAAATACAATGTGCTATGGTACAAGTTATAGTTTACCAACTAAAATACAGTACTCAAATGAAGTATGGATTCTGATTCACTCAGAAGCAGCATATCATAATTTCTTTTTGTAAGCCAGATCCTAGCTGAAGAATCCTGACTTGCAGTAGGAGTGGGTGGATAGGAGGTCTCACGCAGCAGCTGTGTTGCACGTTTCAAGCTCGTTGTCTTTATTGTGCTGTGTTTTTTGAATATGCTTTTAAAGGAGCTGTAACTGGAAGTGGAAGAACGTGGAGGGGGGGGAAGCATGTGAAGTGTGGTGTATGCAGCTGGAGTACTGGGGCAGGCTTAATGCAGTTTGCGTATACAAGAGTATAAACTACATGTTGGCAAAACCCCAGTCGTTTATGGTTACTTCTTCATCTTTGAGAAAATAGGACTTCCATCTCAACCAAACCCAGCTTACTTTGCAGAAATTAGTAGAAGGAAAAAAAGCTGAAATTATTTTCTTAAACTAGAATGTAAGTAAATATAGTGAAATTGCACAAAACTATGGACTGCACAATTTTGACCTCGGCATACCCTTCTGTGTAATGTCCAATAGGTAAAAGTGCCGTTAGAGGATCTTTTACATTTTTTAACTTAAATTTCTTTTTGTTAAGTTCTCAAGTTTCAATTCTGAGATAAATCCTGAGGAGTCTGTTGCTTATTACAGATACTGAGAGACACAGACACTAAATTACTATCTTTTAATACTAAAGACCTGTCTTGGTTTGAGGAATAAAGGTGCAAAAGATAAAGAAGAATTGGAAAAGAAATGTATCTGGCAAAGAGGCTGGATTTATTTGTTGTTATATTTATTAGTAATTAAATTAAAGGAAAATAACTTTGCATGTTGTGAATTTGCATTAAGTCATGGACTTTGGATTTCAGCAGCACACAAGCACAAATTCTCTTTTTTTCACTGATCAGTAAACAAATGTGACAGGAAAAAACCTTTTTGGTTTGCTACAGCTTGTTACCACAGTTCACAGCAGTTATGACTTCTGGTATCGTGTCTTGGCAGAACACAACACATTGTGAATGTAAATAGGAAAACATTTTTCCATATGAATAGTTCCCACAGAAATTTTCTGTAGTGTGTATATTGTATGTATGTTATTTCAGTCAAACGCACAAGTTCAGTTTCCTGATCCTTCCATGATGTGCAGCTTAATACCTAAAGTTAATTGCGGTTTTAAATACATTAAGTAGATTGTGCATCTTAAACCCTGAGATCTGGAGTCCTAAGACTTCATTTTCCTATTGCATGTCGTAGATGTTTTAGTACAGCACCTTGTCATTTTTGGCATTGTTTTTCTTGATCAGGAAGGGGTACGATGTAGAAATCATTAACTGTTAGCTCCTGGTGCAGAGTAATGTATTTGGAAGCTTTCTTTGTCTGTGGGATCACAAATTTCTCTGTAAATTCACTTTTACTCATTTGCCGTTTTCCTTGGGCGGTCAGTACACTGTTAATGAATGCCAGTGCGTATGTGTAGCAGTTGTGGTCATGTTCTTCATACCTAGGAAAAATACTTCGTTAATAAGAGTTAGCACTAATCTACTAATGACTGGAGGAATATCTTACTGAGTGAAATAAGGAAGCACAGGGTCTCCAAGAACTATTGCCACTTTCCTTTAATGCTAGTGCTTAAATATATTCTATCCAATGCAATTTGTACTTCCCAGCCAGGGATACTACAAACTGTGCATAAAAAAAGGAGGGCTGCAGACTTTGCAATAATGAGTTCTTATTTTTTATACTTACTTGGCTTATACCTTGTTAACCTTTGCTCTTCCATGTATTGTTACTGTTATCTTGAAAACTTCTTCCTGCAGCACTACTGTTAATTGTGTGCCACCATGTGCACTTCTTTCAGTGTGGCATTAACTCGGAAGCTTACTTAAAATGGAATGCATTCTATCAGTAGTATGTTGATGCAGTTGCTATACAGTGTGCCAGTCAAACTCCCATTGGCAATAATTTGTGCCAATTGTGCAAGGACAGAAATACTAACTGAATAGGAGGAGTAGCCATTTAAAATGTTTTGCCTTTTTTCTTTTCTTTTTTTTTTTCCCCCAACCTAGGAGCATGTGGCACTTACCTGTTCTTTTCACTGTCAGAGTATTTCTCAGATTCTCCCAAATGTTTCATGTTGGCCACTAACAACTTCAGTAATTTATTCCATGCCCTCAACCACGTAGTGCTGCTCTTTCCACTGACCCTGTATAATTGCATTTAATACAGACCTGCTCAGACTCCTGTTTGCCATCTGCCTAATCCTCAAACTTCTTCTGTAATTAATTACCTCATCCTGTGTCATTTTTCCCTTGTTCTTCCTGGCCCTGTCACTCATTCCTTGCCCTGTCAGTGGCTCCATGGTCTGTGTTGCCACAGGGAATCTCCTGTGAGGCTTGCCTGTCAGCCCAGGGAATTTACAAGGTGGTTTTGCAAGATCTGAGGACTCGGGCTATCAAAAGCAACCCTGCCAGCCTGAGCCCACTTCAGGACAGCTCGCTGTTTCCTTCAAAGCTCTTCTGGTTCCTTAAGAGTATCTGAAGGGACCTATGAGCCCCCATGTCCTAAGCAAGCAATTTGCTACAGTGTACTTACTTTACTAAAATAATTGTTAAGGAAGAATAATTACAAGTAACTTCAAGAGTGGCTATCATCACTGTGCAGTACAAAACATCTGGAAATTGCACTGAAAAAAAAGGTTGGGTTCACCAGCTCAGGGCTGAGTCTGCAGCGCACCACAGTGTGTCTGGATAGCTTCTGTGTACACGAGTGCTTCACTGAATCAGTGCCACGATTAAGCGGAGCACATAACTTCATTTTTCTATTTATAATGCAAAAGATTCTGTAATATGCTTCTTATTTACTGTCTGTGTCTTCTAGTTAGCATCTCATTTTTGGGAAGCACGTCTTTATATCCTGACATGCAAACTCAGTATCTCTCAGAAATTTAAGATATTGTTGGTCATGGCTGTGGCCACTGTTCTTTGCTGCTGTTATATACCATCCTTCCAGTAAATGAAAAGCAATCAAGAAAATTAGAGTCAGGCTTGGCCTGAACCCAAAGGAGTTACAGGATTAGTTTAGCGCAGTTCCTGTACATTGAAAAAATAAACAGAGGAGTTAACTTTTTAAAAGATGTTACATTTTCAGCAGTTTAGTGGTCACTGGTCTGTTTGTGGAAAAAGTAGGCCACCTTGTCAGGAGGTGGCAGACGGAGGAAAACCAAA